AGTGGTCGAATCTGATCTCGACGCCTAAAAGAGAGCTCTTTAGAGACGTGACTTATCATTGCTATTGCATTAGTTAATTTTGAGGCAATTGATCTATGGCTTGTATGCTTATCAGCCTCTTTATTCGATCGACATTGCCAGAAGGTCATTCATGGAATTTGATAGTGCAGCGATGCTGATCAGCAAGGTTTCTTGCAGATTTGCAAGCTTTGTCTTTCTTCTTGACATACCCTGGTAAATGTCCCCATATTTCGGGGGTTATTTTTGGTACATATAATGACTTGCAATTCTTTGGGCACTTCAGGCATTTCAGTTTCTCAGTAGTCAATTCCGATTCAAAATTTCTGTCAGTGTTTTTGGCAAGTTTTTCTGAAATAGGCGGGCCTACATCTTCGGAGGTGTAGACATCTTGTGACAAGTTAGTAAGAAAATCTTCATCGTTAACATCTGACTCATTGTCACTTGAGCTGCCAAAAATGCTCAATGTATCCTCATTCTCTTCAACTTCAATGGTTTGCTTGTCAGTGTGGTCTTTGCCACCATGCTGTTGGCCTAGCTGTGGGGCAGTTCTGGCCCTCTTTGGAGCTGGTTCGTCCTGGTTATCGGACAGAATCACATGGACCCGCTTGGGTTTCATATCTATCGTACTACCACTTGAGCTACAACTAGAGGAAGCTGCTTTGTCTTCCAAGATGTCCATACGCTTGACAAGCGTTTGAAGCAAGGCGTTCTGTTGGCTTATCACCGACGCTATATCTACGCTAGAAACAGGTTCCGAAGGAATTTCATCAACAGACATCTTGTTTATCTCTTTGTGTGTTGTCTCACCTAAGCGATTTCCTAAGAAAAGGGAACAGTATTTGGTGACTGTATAATTTGTACTTATCTTCAAGGATGCATGAATCATCCAATGGGGATCTTGTGTTTCCTAAATAATTGTCCAACGATGGAATGGATTTGTTTTTTAAAAAATTTACAAATAGGCGAATTTTGTAGAATACAAAAGCACTCGTCTGGTTTCGGCGGAAAGTGAAGCACAATTGGTTCTCGGCGAGTAGTCGGCGCTATCTCATATCAATTCCGTACAACTCCGTAACGACCATAGGCTGCTGATGTAGTAGATTTAACAATTATCAGTTCATACAGTTGTTTTTAAAATTTATTAATTGTAGGTGAAAAGAAAAGGCTACAAAAGACAGCAAAAACAAAAACGTTTCAAGCAATAAAGCCTTGGATTGGGGGTAAATATAGAAATAAAAATTTATTTTAGCATATTTTCAAGATTTTTAAAGAAACCATATGTAATTTTTTCACCATTCTGGGATGTTGATAAAGATTGGAAGAAAATTTTTTTAAATAGGCCCCTCCATACGGCTGATTTACATTTGGTATTAAGTAATGAACATTTTTGTGTTAATATAGAGGTAAGCAATAGGGTGTTTTTTCAAGCGAAAATAAGCCGTTTATTTTGAACGAAAATAAGCTGCAGCTTAAATAAGTTGCAAACAGCGCGTTTATATTATATTATATTACACGAACAGGCTGAATGCCATAAGATCAGTAAGGCAGTGGAAAAACAAAGAAAAAACACAATCCTTTCCTCAACCTTCATTAACCAGCAAAAATAAAACGACATTACCAACAAATTCCTTCTGCAATGTTATGGACTAATACAATGCCACATACCATATAACCGATACTCATTTATCACCTATTTGCACCATCTACAAGGAATCGAAGAGGGAAACCACCATCTTACCGTGATGACAATGGCAAGCGCTACCGATTGTATTTATGACGTGCAGTTACATTCATTGGTGAAGTTCATTCTTTCTCCCAAACCTCCAACTGGCCATCTTTGACACTGCCACTTGTCACTTAGGAGACCATTAGAGTGATGCTCGCAGTGCATTTTGCCATGTTTATGACTTTCTACGCCAACAATTAACAATGTCTGATGAGACTATTAGCAAAGTGATCACTTTATCATTGTCTGACTGTGAAGCTGTTTACAGTGGTGAAATTCAAGAGCTCCAAAGCCTCTGGAAAAAAAAATTCTACAAAGCTCATCTTCATTTTGGTGACAGAGCTCACAAAATCCAGTGGATGATAGGGATGATTCGAAAGGATGCAGAAATGAGATGGCTTGACAATATCTTGTCAAAACTGGACAGTATAATTTCAAAAATTTGTCTAACAATATCTAACAAAAAAAAACTTAATTACTTATCAAACTATTGGGGCACTCGTTTCGTGTCTTATTGCCTGCTTTCGTAAGAGAGATTTGAATCCTTGACTCGTAAACTCACCACCATTATTGCTTCCTATCCTTTTAACTTTGCTGTAAGGCGCAACATCAGCCAAAAGTGTAACTTTTTTGCTTTAAGAAATAGATCATGTTGATACCTGTATAATCATCTATAAAAGACAATGCATATTTAAATTCGTCTTTGGCAACAGGCTCAATTGGTCCGGCCAAGTCACTGTGAACGAAATCCAAAGGTCCTTTAGCCCTCTGATCTGGCTCTCGGTTTCTGCTCTGACACATCTTGCCTTGAATGCATACACAATCTACCTCTCTGTGGTCTGTTATTTTCATACCTTTTACTGCCTGTTCTAACTTCCGTACATCTCCAAAGTTACAATGGCCTAAAATCCTGTGCCACTCATTAATGGAGGTAGCATTGTTACACAAAGAAGAGATACTATTTAAATAGTACAAACGCTCTCCCTCTTCCACCTCAAATACCTGACCTTCAGCTGTAGTGTATTTACTTACCTGTTCTCCTAAAGTAACCGATCCTCCTCTACCTATTTCTGCCGAAACTGAAAAAATATTAGATTTTGTACATTACCCTTTACATCAAACAATTTAACCATTGCATTTCCCTTTCCTAAAACTATGTTAGCCTTGCTTCCATCTGCAAGTTCTGCAAAGTGGCTGTTTGGATCAAAGATTTTGTCAAAGCTTACATACATACATCACATTGTCTTTGCCTTCCATACTATGGCAACTCTTCGCACTTTCTTCATAGTTTTGCAGCGCTGTTTTAAATTCCCTGAATGTCATCTGCTTTTCACGTTGAATTACCACTGTAGATAATATTTTATAGTTCCCTGGGAGACCTTTTAAAACCTTTGCAGTTAGTAAGCAGTCCCTAATAATTTCCTCTGCTGCTTTGAGTGCTGTCGTTGCGTGCTGTCGTTGCGGTCTCCCGCGTATGATGTTGTGCGCTGTGGACTCACTTTCTCCTTTCCTCAGTGAAGTCAGTTCGGTGTACAGAGCTATAACTTTGGGTTTTTCCTTTTCCTTGATAATGTTCTCTCAGCACAGTTAAAGCCTTTCAACCATCATCCTTTGCCTCCCGTATCCCTAGGGACAAGCTTTGGTTGTTTAAACACTGTACTAGTTTGGCGAAGGCATCAGTATTCTTCGACTCATCTAGCTCATGCTCATCGTGGCTGGCACAAAATATTGTAAAGTGTTTGGATCCGCATAAACAATAAAAAACTTTACCTCCCATGATTTGTACTTTGATTTGTTTGTTATTTTGACGAAGCAATTGATCTTGAGTTTGAAAGGGTAAATGCTTGGCGCCTTCAAACTCTTATTTGGTGTAAATGTGGACATTGCACTATATCGAACAAAGCTATTGAGTGTTTTGAACCCAGTATATGTGATTGATTACAGACTGTATACTAGAAGTTACTATCGCAAGGGGAGTGCTGTCATGTGCAAAAATCGGAAATTTGTCAAATAATATTTGATCATACAAAAGCAGCCTAAATCAAGTCAACTAGACCAGCAAGCATTATAAAAACAATTCAACTTGAATCATGTTGAATTTTTTTTATTTACATGATTGTTCTGATAAAGGCTTGCAGTTTGCAGCCGAAATTTAAGTTATATTTAAAGAATTTTATTTTCAATAATTATTCGCGTTGAATAATATTTTTTGATTATTTCTTTGAAGAGACTTGATTATACATGGAAAGGGGAGGATAATTTATTTAACTGCTGATCTCATGAGGTATTTTGTGACTGACTATTAATCCAGTACTTTATAGACTGTAATGTTTCTGTTCTTATCAACGTTTGTGCACTTTCAGTATGTTTAAATGAGTTGATGTGCTGCAAAACTCATGATGCAAAGCTGCTTAACCATTGTCAAATTGGAAACATGTACTCTATATTAAATTCTTAAATGTGTATTTTGATATTTTCTTTTACAGAAGTTATACAAGCCATGTATTGCATCTGAGAGATTATGTAGGAATCTTGACCTTCTACAGGTGGCTCTGACAACAAAGTTAAAGTCAAAGAACAGGAACAAGTTAATTTTAAATTTTAAGCAGGATGTTTTTAGACATTTATTTTATAGGAAGGGAAGAGAATAAAGGGACAATAAGTCTATTTGAAAAAAAAATTTATTAGATGTAAGTTTTAGAGTTGTGAGATTGGTGTTGGAGTGACAATAAAATACCCTGTTAACAAAGTAACCTAAAAGTGGAATACTTCAGGAATGTCAGCGGATGTTAATTTAAAAATTATTAATTGATTTTGTATGACAACCTGTTACAGTTCCTACAGTAGATTAAATATACTATTATTCTTAAGTTTTATTTATGGTTTGCTATACAGTTATTTTTACATTTCAGTTAATTGTCTGCTATATCCTATTACGCCTTTTCAATTCTTACCTTAATTCCTTAAAGGGTATTGGCAATAAATTTTTTTATGCTTGCAATCAGGTAAATTTGACCTCCTGATTACGAATATGGTATTAGTTTTTACCAAAACTGTTTAGTTCTCGAGTTATTTTATGATAAACATTCAGTCCATCCGCCATCTTGGACCGATTTTCAAAAAAATTATCTTTTGGTAACTTGACACTTGTGACGTCAGGTGCAGGGTAGATCAAAACAACATATATATTTTATACGCGCATATAGCCATTTCGAACTTCTAGTGAAGTATTTAGCACTTTTCAATTTCAAAAATGGAAAGTATCCACGATAACCAATTAGAAGAGGTATTACCCTATCAATTTGAACCCGAACCGGGCTTGAATGCAAACAATAGCAGCGAGGATAGCGACTCAGATGAGAGTCAATCATCAGACGAAGTCGACCATGCGTTTGAGGTTGAAAATGCCTGGCGTCTTCACAGTCTCAGTTGGTGTAAATGTGGGCATTGCACGTTAAAACCAAAGGCCATAGAATCGTTTTGTTGCCATGAAAAAGCATTGGAGTACGAGGAGTATGATGCGCTCTTAACAGAGGCTGAAGCGCAAGGGGAAAGGTGCTTGACAACGCATAGCGACTTCAAAGCAAACATGCTGTCGGAAGGTGTCTTGAAAGTAGACGTTTGCCGCAATCTTGAGGACAACTGGCCTCTGGATGACGACGATTTGAGCAGAATGCACAAACTGTATAGACTTGTTGCATACCAACGATGTTTGCATTGGGTATTTCAAATTTTGGGGAAAAAGAACAGAAGACCGCTTCCAGCGTGTGTTTACACGACCATTCGAGATCGATTTTCCTCTCATGATGGCGTCTACACTTGGTCGATTATTTACTATGGAAAGCCGATGCTGCCAAAAGTCCTACAAATAGGTCATATACCTTTGAGTTACAAAAAGCTATGCTTGAGCTAACTTTTCATATAATTGAGCTGAAAATGCTATGGTTCAACCACGAAATGACATAGTCGAGTTTTGACATTTCTCGCCTGCGAGTTTTGACATTTCTCGCCTGCGAGTTTTCATATTTCTCGCCTGCGAAGTTTTAACATTTCTCGCCTGCGAGTTTTAACATTTCTCGCCTGCGAGTTTTAACATTCTCGCCTGCGAGTTTTAACATTCTCGCGCGAAGCGAGTTTCGCGCGTGGCGGCATATATAATTTTCGGTGTCTTCGTAAGTCTTCGTATTAGATCGTACGCGATCGCTGCAACGCATGGCCTACGCGCGATTGCATGGCGAAGTTGACTCTATCTTGTTTATCTACTTTAAATAAAACCATGTCGATGAATCCTATTATTCAGCAAATATTGCAAAACATCGATAGACTAGGACAGGAACTACAACGAGCCGACAGGAACAACAACAACCGTGCAAATAATCCAGAAACTCCAAGTGCCTCAACTCAGAATACGGTACGTATATTAACTATTTATTAAAGTCGTTTAACATAACAGATTAATTTATGGATATTTTATTCATGGTCGGTCAAATATACAATTGATTTGTCAAGCATTGTTCAACAGCACCCACGTTAAAAACAAAGAAAACAAGACTCTGTCTGCAGGCTACGGTGATGATGTCAGCCATGGCCCATCCTCCCCTGAGCTGTCCCCCACTGCAATTTAGCCTAACACCCCACCCCACCCCTCTTCACACACACATACAGTATTAGCACTTCAACATGGTGGTAAAGTTGATAAATCGTTGTAGTACCAGGCCTTTTTTTTAAATACATTTTTGCGTGGTTGAAGGAAATATTGTAATTGTTTTTTTGAAAGTTTTAGTCAAAAGTCTGCTTGCTGGAGCCAATTTTTATTGTTGTTATTCTTTTGGCAGGCTAGTACCAGCACTGAAGTTTCAAGAATTTTTAGGGGACCAACTTCTGCAAGTACTAATGCCTCCCCTGTTTCTGCTCTGTCCACTCAACGATTACCTGCTGCATCGAACACAGCTCCACGTTTCAGGCTTCGCCAAAATTTTCCCCAGACAAACAGAGGCAGGAAAAAAGATAAGCCAGCTACAGGTCCTTTTACAAAGGATGTGATTTTGTTAAGTGGTCCGAATGATACTACTGTACCACGCCAAGGTAGCCGTGTATGGTTAATGGAACATCACCATATTCTGTGTGGTGTGCAGCTTAGAAAAGAGTGGGATAGCGATAAACTGTTGTCATTTCTTAAACAGTTATTCCCATCAAAGCTGATGGATTCAGATGATGTTGAAATTTTACTGTCAGTTCATTCTAAATTGTTACCACCTACTCTGGCACCAGGGCAGTCACACACTTTCATTTTTTGTACTGCAAAAAATATTCAAGGACAAGCATTACATACGACCTTCTCGACTAATCCTGACTATGGAAATTGATGAGCCACTGGCAAAGAAAGAAAAGTTGGAAGATGAGGCTTTTGAGGTATGGATGTTGTAATTACACTATGTTACAGACTACATAGCACTTGGCATCACTGTACCAAATCTAGTTGTGATATTTTGCCATATTTGTTTTGAAAGTTGTTGGGAATCTTAGTATTTGGAATGGGGCAAAGAAACACTTAGCAAAGATTTTATCATCTATCGTTTCTCATGCAATTTGGGAAAACGTAATGTTCACATGTCTTGTGAGTTTTTGAGGCATTAAATTGCACTAATTGTCCTTCTGGAGTGATGCAATTTTGATAGTGACTCATTTATGTTTTCCAAAATTGCACTTGGAACCATACTGTCTACTGCCTATATTCACAATAGGATATTCTTTATTATTTAGGAATTCGCAATGAATTCAATCTGGGAAGATGACTGTGCAGTCTTTGGTATGTATAATATATTTTAACTGATCAGTGATCTCTCTCTATAAAGTGCTGCATGTTTTCATCAACCCTTAATTGAGAATGTGGATTATTATAAGAAAGTGGGAGTTTATGTAGATCATAAAGTTATTGCATTTGAACCAGGAAAAACTTTCCAATATTTTATATATATTGTTTTTTATAATACTGTAGTTTTATTTTACTTAGATGCCATTGAACCAGAGCAGTCCCGAAAGAAAGATGTGGAAGTGATAGAAATTGACTCATCAACTACTAGTTCACTGACTAGCCTACCGACTAGCCTACCAATTACCAGTAGCCCAACAACCACTTGCACACAAACCACCAGCCTGCAAGCCTCTCACTCAATGACCACCAGTTTCCAAAATCCAGACCCACCAACCACTTACCTGCAATCCCATAACCCACCAGCCCACAATTCCCTAACCCAACAGCAAATGACCCACCATCTGGCATTGATCATGTTATTGTACAGAAATGCATTGATTACTGTCATGAGAAAAATATCGAAGACCCAGTGGAAATATTAAGAGTTGCCCAACAATTTATTGTAACAGGTCGGAAGTTAGACGTCGTATCCCTCACTGAATGTGTAGAGGGAGAGACAAACTATATTCTGATTAACCGCCAAGATGTGTTGAACAGTGCAATGGAAGAAATAATGCCCTTGATCAATCCAAGATTAACATTGGAGGCATGTAGTTGGTGATGTACAAATTAGAATTCAATAAATATTAAAATTAAATAAATTAATTTGATGTTAAAGTTAAATAAATAAAATTAATTTGATAAATATTAAAATTTAATTAAATTAAATATGTTGATGTTAATTTGAGATTCCATGTTGTCAGATGAGAAGTATACATAACATTCATTTGATCACAGTTGATAGAATATACATGGTTTGGAGACCACTTAAAAATACAATACAACTCATTAACTATGTTATTGTCCAGGTTTATGCAAAAAACGGTTTCTTTCTCGTCACGTGTCTATTGTATTTTAGCCAAACTGACCAATGGCATTTGTCTTGCTAAGCTCCTCAACCTTGACTTAAAAATATGTTAATTAAAAGATTGCTATTGGTTTATCTGTGCAAAATACAATAGACATGTGATGAGAAAGGGACAACTTTCTGCATAAATGTACCTCAACATAGTTAATGAGTTGTATTGTAGTTTTACGTGGTCTCCAAACCATGTATATTCTATTAACTGTGATTTGATTAAATATTTATTCTCCAACATTGTCATTATGATTTAATCATGATATCTGAATCTGACAGTATGGTTTTCCTGCATTGATATGTTGCTTAGGCTGTATTGCCAAGACTCACTCCTTAGTTGTCACTACTGTAGGTTCTCATCTACCACTGATGTCATAATAGACTGGATAGAGCAATTAATTCAATTCAATTAATCCACATTCAAAAATGTATTAATTCTTGGCATGATTTTTCATTAAGGTGTAGTTGATCCATCCAGTTTATTATGAGACTAGTTATTACTAAAGTGTGAATTGTACACAAATTTGGATGTAATTTGGCTTATTTGATCACTGCAGGTGTCCTTTTATGGGGAGGCAGCCACAGACTATGGTGGGCCGAGGAGAGAATTTTTTCGGCTGTGTATGCAGGAAATCAAAGCTCGATACTTTGATGGTGGACTCAAGGATCATCTATTCGCCGACTACACTGTTATTGGCTTAATTATGGCTTTAAGCATTTTACAAAATGGCAATATTCCAAGGTTCATTCCTCCAGATAACCTGCAAGAGCTTTTTTTTTCTGAAAGCCCATCCCGATGCTTGCAGAGTCTTCGTAGAGGTTTAGAAAAACTGGGAGTGTATCAAATAGGAAAAGCAATCCCTAGCTTCCTGTATCTTTTCCATGAGTCGCCCACTGCAACATTGTCTAGGAGAAAGCTGATTCATATCCAGGGGCGGATCTAGGGGTAGTCACACCAATCACGCGACTAACGTGAAAACTCCGCACTAATTTGATTCAATGAAAGTGAAATAATATTCATTTTTCCGAACGCAGTCCAGTTGTAAATTTGCAGCGGCATAATTAATTTTCTGGCCGAATGAATTAAATTAACACTGATCTCTCTTGATTTCCCCGCTCTGAATTCAAATTTCAAACTGCACAATCGTGATCGTTCTGGAGGTTGGTTAGGGGCGTTTCTGGTCAATCTGATTGGCCCATTCGGTGGTTTCCAAGGAGACAAAAATGGTGATCGTTTTGGAGGTTTGGTCTGATCGTTTTAGAGGTTGGTTATGGGCGTTTTTCATCAATCTGATTGGTCAGATCGATAGTTTCCATGGCGACACAAATTGTGATCGTTTTGGAGGTTGGTCTGATCTTCATTTCTTATTGGCTGTTTAATTCCTGACCGATCACGACCGATCAAGCGATCAGAGTCAGACTTCTCCGCAGGCATCTCTTATGTATTTGTATTATGCATTTATATTTGACCGTGAGTAATATCACCGATCATGACCGATCAGAGCCCGTGTTTTGCAGTCGAATGTATAGTTCTTTGTAAGGGAATTCAAGAGAAAAACCGGTATAGAGCAGTTTTAATGCGGGCGCTATATTCATGACACTATTAAATAACATGTCGTCGAGAGATGGATGTTTCCGTATTAAATATACTCGCATGTGTTCGACGAATTGAGAAGTGTACTGTTATAAGGTAAATTATCCAATGTTGATGTTTATGTAAACTATACTCTGATAATACTATAAGTTCATATAAACAATGGTCCGATAATTTAACTATGTTATTGTTAGCTTATATATTTTACCTAGGCTTTGAGGCTGCTGTTATTAGCATATATTTGCATTCGCCCGTCACCCGTCAAATCGATTTAGAATTTCGAGCCTATTCATATTCTCATTTGTTGTATTGATTATTCGCATTACCCAGATTCTTCTTGCTGGCATTGTATAGATTGTGAGCTAGTGTAATAATCTGTAATTTGCAGTTTGAAAGATTTAGAAAGCGATGGATATTTGCGAAATCATTATAATATATAAATATAAAGCAATTTCTCTTTGACCAAATTCAATGATAAGGTAATAAACCTGTGTTCTTACATTTCACTAGACAATAACATTTTGAGCTGAAAATTTCTTGAGAGGTCTGTTCGAAGGGGTAAATTTCTACCATTATTGAGATTTGACTATTGTTATAAAAACATGCATTTTATACCCACAAAACGTCCCTTTTTAAACCTTCCATTTCAGTGCTTACACAATGTTTTGTGTGGCATTCGATAGCTGTGCCCTAGGAATTTAGCAGACTATAACCTGGCATCAAGCTTGGAAAGCCTCACACAAATTTCATAAATCTTGCGGGGGGAGGACGATTGGTGACGAAAATTGGCCTACGAAAATTTTGACTAACGTAAAAAAAATCCTAGATCCGCCCCTGTATCCTTTCTCCTAGCTTTTCTGAGGAAGGGTCAAATGCCTGTTCAGATGAGAATGTGGCCTATCAGTGCTTTCTCAAATACTTACAAGCTGCAGCGAGTGGGACAAGGGGCTCCATAACATTGGAACACATATTGCAATTTGTTACTGGGGCAGACATGGAACCTCCACTTGGCTTTGGATTGTCCCCAACTATAACCTTTCCACCTGCAGATGACCCCAGTCCCTGGTCATTCGTTCTGTCAGCAAACACATGCACCAACACATTACATTTACCAAGAGGTGTATCAGGAAAGCTTACTCAGCCAGAAGAATCTGTGCTATTTGACATTTATGATATAGCATTTGCAAATGCATATTTTGGCAGGGCTTAGCGATTGTTCCCATACCCTACAGTAGCCTGTATGTTTTAAAAAGAACGTAAAAACTGTTGTTCAAACATTTGTCCAGTTGAATTAATTTTTAAAGTTACACATTTGTATTGTTGCAGTTTTGTTAACACAACTATTACAGTATGCAAGTTATGAACGCAAATTAATGTTAATTACTATTAAAGTTATTTAAAATGTATGAACGAACATTAAGAAAATGTTGTATCCCTGAGTCTCTGTCATCACTCAGAGGATCAAATTCTTCCCGGAGCTCTATCTGCTCTTCCTCGGTAAGTTCTACTTGATTTAAAGGAACACAAATTCCATCTTCCTCATCACTATCCTCTCTTATTATCTCATAGTCAATGCCATAATTCTCAATATCTTCTACAATGTCAGTGTAGGCATTTGTGTTTTGTGTTAGCATGCCATAATTCCAAAGGGCAAGAGGAGACGATTGTCCTGCCGTTCTCATTCCATGATAGTTCCACTGTAGAATAAGTTCATCAGTAGATTTACGAATACGAGGCAGAAAAACATAATGCAGAAAAACATAATGCAGAACATACATGTCCAATTCACTGTTGCGGTCTAGGATCCCATATTGTTCCATATGCTGAAATATACCTTTATACAATTCAACAACTACTCTATTTACCTCTCTCCAAAGTCTTTCTATTCTGGTGTTATGGACACTTCTGCCTGCGATGAAACTTCCCCTGTTAGTGCCACGTGATGAGATCATAAAACGGGCAACATCATAATTCTCCACTCCTCAGTCACCACGCACCCTATTGGGAAGACCATATTGAACAACACCGTCCTGGAAATAACACAAGGTCTCGGCGGACAAATTATTAGTTGCACATCGCAAATAAATTATGGCCCTACTGTAACCATCCACGCACCCATGGAACACAAATCTCCATGAAATCAGTTTATGGTTAGAGTCTAAGTGCCACAAACTGTTGGGTGATTTGACATTGTAAACCCGTCTTCGTATAGAATTACCCCACCTAACAGCTCGTCCTATAGGGTCTACAACTTGAAGGCGATTTCTCACCCTCCAGCGTTGTATGACAATACCTCGACCTCGTAAACTACCTCGCACATAACTCTCTCTCACATTTGGAGTTAATGCTAATATCTCCTTGAGAAATATATCTAGCTCTGCATCGCTCATAGCAGAATATTCTGTATACAGGTTAAATTCTGCCACTCTCCTGTATATTGTTCTTTCGCTAACATTAAGACATTTAGAGGTTTTCCTCCAAGACATTCCATATTCACGAAGATACTCAAGCTGAGGCTTAGAGATAATTAACTTTGGCCGTCCATGAGTCATCTCCTGATTGGGCAAATATTGCGAAAATTGCAACATTGACTGTTCTGCTGCGATTCGGCCTTTGACTTCATCCCATTTAGTATAACTAAACATGTATAATTGCCTTAAAAGTACAAGTATATTGCTGGTCTCATCCCCTTCAACATTTTCAGCATTTTGAAGCAAACAGATGATCCCAAAAAGGACAACAATGAAATATTCTAACTTTCTTTCCAGATATTCTGTCAGCATATTGTCTGATATATTGTCCAACTGTCGCAACAAGTCATTAAAATCTCTAAAGTAACTTTCCAGTTCGTTCCCATTAGCCATGTCTTATTTGGGGGATCATAAGGAACTGGGTAGAAGTGAATGAACACAGCACTGCAGAAACAGGTGAGGCACTAGTACTTGCAGAAGTTGATCTCCTGCCAAAAGAATAACAACAATAAAAATTGGCTCCAGCAAGCAGACTTTTAACTAAAACTTTCAAAAAAACAATTACAATATATCCTTTAACCACGCAAAAATGTATTTAAAAAAAGGCCTGGTACTACAACGATTTATCAACTTTACCACCACCATGTTGAAGTGCTAATACTGTATGTGTGTGTGAAGAGGGGTGGGGTGGGGTGTTAGGCTAAATTGCAGTGGGGGACAGCTCAGGGAGGATGGGCCATGGCTGACATCATCACCGTAGCCTGCAGACAGAGTCTTGTTTTCTTTGTTTTTAACGTGGGTGCTGTTGAACAATGCTTGACAAATCAATTGTATATTTGACCGACCATGAATAAAATATCCATAAATTAATCTGTTATGTTAAACGACTTTAATAAATAGTTAATATACGTACCGTATTCTGAGTTAGGGCACTTGGAGTTTCTGGATTATTTGCACGGTTGTTGTTGTTCCTGTCGGCTCGTTGTAGTTCCTGTCCTAGTCTATCGATGTTTTGCAATATTTGCTGAATAATAGGATTCATCGACATGGTTTTATTTAAAGTAGATAAACAAGATAGAGTCAACTTCGCCATGCAATCGCGCGTAGGCCATGCGTTGCAGCGATCGCGTACGATCTAATACAAAGACTTACGAAGACACCGAAAATTATATATGCCGTCACGCGCGAAACTCGCTTCGCGCGAGAATGTTAAAACTCGCAGGCGAGAATGTTAAAACTCGCAGGCGAGAAATGTTAAAACTCTCAGGCGAGAAATGTTAAAACTCGCAGGCGAGAAATGTTAAAACTCGCAGGCGAGAAATATGAAAACTCGCAGGCGAGAAATGTCAAAACTCGCAGGCGAGAAATGTCAAAACTCGACTATGTCATTTCGTGGTTGAACCATAGCATTTTCAGCTCAATTATATGAAAAGTTAGCTCAAGCATAGCTTTTTGTAACTCAAAGGTATATGACCTATTTGTAGGACTTTTGGCAGCATCGGCTTTCCATAATTTACACCACATAAATATCATGTTTCTTACTCGCGATTTTTACACTTTTCCACTTTACAAGTACATTCGGTGTGACACATTTGATCTGTACCCCTGCAATCACATTTTCTGGTTGCACATTTTCCCTTACAAGCGCATGATACCTTTGCTGACTCACTCTCTGTACTTGCAGGTAAAGCTGGCTTGCTGAAGCGAGATTTGCGATTGGCCACCACTAGCTCCTTGGATGGACGTTCTTTCCCTTCAAGATACTGCTCAACAAGTGATTTTGGTTCAACAGGTAGAAATTTGATGGCATGGACTTTAGCATTCTTTAGTGTATTGTATTCACTTCTAAGTTGAACAGCTTCCTTTAAAATTAGATCCACATATGCTAAAAAATGGATTAGGAAATGTTATTTTTGTTAGCTCTACTGTAATTTATCTTAGTTTTTGGGAAGAGAGATTAGTTACAGAATGAAACTGTCTACTTTTTAAAACGTTTACAGTTTTAGTAAACTATTTCTTACCATATGTTGGCTTTTCCTTCAATGGTTTGGCAACTGCTTTTTCTCCTTTGAATGCTTTTGGATAAGCAATTGTTCATCGAAGATTGCCATCTGCTGTTGTAGCTTGTTTTCTACTGCTGTTTCATTGTAATGCAGATTTGCACAGTACAATCTTTCAAAAGATGCAAATATATCACTTTTATTTACTGCAGTATTGCAAATTATACTATATTGTCATTTACCTTGCACTCAGGGAATGGTATGAATGATAGGTGTTCTTAGAAGCAAGAACATTGTCCACTGCATGCTTGGCCTCCAATCCAGATGTCTGGTGATACAGGGATAACTTTTGAATTGCTGTAATCAGCCGAGGTCTTGTTAGCATCTCAGTTAACTTCTTGTAAGCAGCAGATCCTTAATAAGATGAATAAATGTAAAATATTAAGAATAAATGTAAAATATTAAGGGGTGTATTAAGGTCTAGATTGATTTCATAATTAATTAAATGAATATTAGTAAACCTTGTTTCAGCCATTTCTTTCTATTGGGCCATGAAGACATTCAGTAAACACCTTATGCCCTTCATGTTTGTGAATGTTTACAATATGGTTGAGTAGACTGCGCCATTTTTCCTCTCGTTCATCAGCAGTTGTACTTGAGTTCCCAACCCAGTAGAAATGGTTAACAATGGACTGTCAAGTATGAAATAAAACAAAGTATATTACTTCACATTCAGGTGTAATAAAACTTGTAACTAGTAAAAAATTACTCACGCCAATCCATGGTTTAATTGATTTAAATTTTCTTTTTTTGACAAGCTTTGTCAATTTTTTCTTTCTCCTATAAACATTAGTTATTGAATGGTTATTCTGATTGTATTTAACTACAATATCAAATGAAAACCATCATACCTTTTGCTACATGCCAGACATCATATAAGTGCTCAACTTCAGGTCTCTCATTGGCCATATAAGATGAAACCTGGATATGACAGTCTGTCACCAGTTTTGTCACGCAAATATTGTTTTCTTCCAAAAATTTCATTTGCCGTTTCAAGGACTCCAGCTCCATCGCGTTTGAGTTTTTCACCTCTGTTGACTGATGAAACATTGAAATTAATGTATCAATAAGTTTGCAAAAGATACAAATTGTAACAACACTGTTTACATGGGCTGGTTATAAAAATTACAAGTAAATTTAGTGACCCTTTTACCTTGATAACTTGTGTATCTAAAATGATGTTTCGAACTATGTCTAATGTGCTGCCAGAACCCAAAAGACCACTGTGCCCGGGGCTATCAACATGCATATCAGACGCCACAACAATCGAATCTCCCTTAATTTCATCTAGTCTCGACAATTGTTCTTTTTGCCAAACCTTGTACACGGTTGGGATAACGTAATATTTTAAAATATTTGATAATTCCCGCTGTCTTACGTTTAGGATCTTTAGCGCCGAGAATAGCCGTAGCACTTTAGATGACTCCATCCCAGTAGCAAGAACTCCCGATGCCAAAAGTAAATGAAATACGGGCATGCCATTTACTGTGGGACCAGTCATCCATTCGAAATGGTGGTTGCTTTTGCTTGTACAACAGCTACTTATTTTACAGGACGACCCTCGTTGGCTTTCCACTGTCACCGTGCATTTTGAACCACATAGTCTGCATACCCCGAAAGCTTCCAAAACTGCGTCCTCAAAAACGACAAACTTTATCTGTTCTTGTGGGGGTTTCCCA